AATTAAATTAACATGTAAAATTGAGCCTTAACGAGCTATTAAATTTACCAACATAGCCTATCGCTACAAACAGTTATCCTAACGAGCTATTGTAACAATTTATCTTAACGACCTAAGTAAAATTAGCTCTTAACAAAACAATTCCACAATAACAACATATTTTTAGCCTTACGAGCTAAGTTGCGATACATGTTCGATTTATCAATATGGTAAAATTATTAGTTAATCATCATATTAAATATTTAATTAACTTTAAAATTATTAAATAAAAAATCATTATATTATTAGGTTATAAAAAATTTAAAATATATATATATGTATAATTTATCAATATTGTATATTAAAATATTAATTGAGTTTTATCAATCTTTATTCACGAGTTCTAAATCGAACGACAAATCAAGCTTCTTATCAAGCTTAATGTTGAGTTTGTCACGAACTTCAAATGATGTTGTCAGGAACGTAATGACAAACACATTAGTGTTCAACTTGTTTATTTATGGATTGAGTATTAAAATAATTGTTCAAGTTTGTTTTTTTATTAGGTTAATACGATCACAAACGAAGCTTTATCGAAAACCGAATAAACGAGTAGCTCGCCAAAAACGCTTGGTTTCGCTGTGTCAAACCCTAAGTTGGTGGCAATTATTCTTTTGTAAATATATTCCATGTGCCAAATATTTGTCTGATAATTAAGTAGTGAGGATATCTTAGGCTTTGTTTGGGACGGCTTTCTACTCATTTCTTAAAGTAGCTTTCCTAGTAAATAAATCAAAAATTTTATACTAAGAGTTATTTTGATAGCAACAAAAAAGCTGTCCCAAACGAAGCTTTAATCAAATTACTTTGTTGGCATGGATTTTTTGAGTTTAGTTTAATATGCGTGAATTATAATTAGTTATATTTTATTTATTTGTTTTGATGAGGGTAAATTTTAAATGTTGATTGATTATTTATTTATTATATTAATTTTAAAATAAATTTAAGAATTTAAATTTGTATGGTCAAGTTTGGTTTAAGATATATTGGGCCCAAGAATTTTTATTTTATAGAATTATAAAATTTAAATAACTCCAAGTTCTTTGGATAATGAAGAAGCAGTTAAATATAAAGGGCTTTGACACAAGATTGTTTAACTTAAAAAAACTATTAAGTAAAGGAAATTAAGAGGCTTGCCAATTCAAAAAGTTTCATTAATCTGTTAATATTATAAGGGATGTACTTTCCTATTAGATTGTAAAAAATATATATATATAATATAATTGAAATTGAATTGGTAGGAGAATATCTTGAGGTGTTATCATTAAGAGGACTAGTTTAAATAATTTACGAAGGTACTTGAACTTTGACTTAGTCATTTAATAATAAGGATATAACATGGTGAAGACGGAGCATCAAATTGTAATAGTTGGATGATATTATGTGCCATTGTTGAAAGATGTTGGTAAAGGAGGTGGTATGAATTCCTATAAGATAGAAGCCTTGCAAGCTAAGCATTTGACATTGTTGGTTGGTAGCGTTGTCGGATGTAGCCATTGACATGCTTCGAACACTGATGGATGGTTGAAGTGTTGAAAATATAGTGATGTCAAACAATCAAGATTTGTTCAGCTGAGGGGTCACATTACTTAACTTCAATGTTCTTGGTGATGCAAGCTAATAATCAATATTTTTATGCCGAGTTGAACTCGTCTTAACTTAATGTCTTAGTCTATTCATGTTATACGGAGATGTACAACTCACTAGACACCCACCATATTCTACTTTCCAACATTCCTTATTAGCCTTCTAATTGAATTACCAATAGCTAACATGCCAATATTTGTATTGTCATTTTGATGGATTGATGTTCCAATATCACACTGGAGAAACAATTGAGTTAAGTTGTTCGATATCACTCTATTTATGATTTATGTAGTAATGTATCCCATTTCACCCAAAGGACGATCACAACATTCATTCGGCTCTCAAAGCCAATTATGCATTCTATATAAGGAGAACAAAGAGTTTATGATTGCATGATAATCCGCTGTGATGTGACGCTCTAACAACGATTGTTTTCCTAACATCAACAAGTGATCAACTCCATACCATATTCAATTTCACTGACATCCCAATGCTTGTCTCTTACCAATCCGATTATCAATCACTATTTAATATAATTAAAATACTCTCCAAACCTTACTTTCACCACATGCAGATCATTTCACAACTTTATGCACACTATTTTCTTTAATGTATTCTCAAATATAAGAAAAAAACATCTTTAATAGATGCATCTAACTTGTTAGAATCACTTAAATTTCACAATAATGGTAACATGATGCTGGTGTTTCAAATTTATTTTATTAAAAATGTTTTATTTTTTGATATCAAGAAAAATATTGTTTAGAATGCTTGTGTTTTCCATTGTCCGTATTCCAAGTTTGATCCTCATGTCAGACATATCAACTTCGTCACATTCTGTATCATGCTCCCTTTTTGTCTACTACATACTTGAAGGATATAGTATGTTCATGATATCGAACCTTTGTAGCTGTGTAAAACTTGCACATGTATTTTAGATATCAGATTAGTTTAGAACAGTCAGAAAAAATTTATCTTAGATGTATCAACACTTGAAAACGGGTACCTTTCAAATCTAAAAGTCTCTCCACCATGTTGCACAATTGAGCAATGGTCAGTGATTAAATAACTCTTACTGAACTAGGTATATCTTCGTAGAAGTATACACAACTACGGATAGCCATAAGGTGGTAATGATATCTCGTAAGTGCTTAAAACTTACGGTGTTTGAATAACAGAAATCAATTCAAATTAGTAATCGATTATCGGGAGCTCCAAACTAACTGCTTGACAGCCCATCTAAGCACAAGAAAACCCGCATCAGAACCTTCCCACCCAGATGCACAAATGTCATAATGGAACAATGCAACCTTTTATAACATTATGTGAAGTAAGCCTCACGTTACGATAACGATCTGTAAGTGTTACTAACCATCGTAGGGATATGTGTTCCATCAATAACACCAATTGCATTCATGAAGTTGGGCTTAAAATAGTCATTTTGAACGTACGAATGGATGACATTTCTACTATGTCTCTCTAGTAGATTTGAATTCATATGTGAAAGGATACAAGAGCACGCAGTAATCAATATTAAAGTAATCCAATAACTTTCCAATGGAGTGCGGAAGAACTCACACAACTTGGTGGGGATAACTTGAGCATGTCGATATCAACTCCATCGCAAAAAAAAAAAAAAAGCAAGTTGTCAGCGGCGAGCATGTTTTTGTATGTCCCGCAAATATTCCACAGCTCACAAACAAGAGATATCTTAGGCTCACAAAGACATCATGAAGGAACCTGAAGCATTTGTATGCTCTTCCGCGAGCCAAACAAGCCGATCCAGTACATATTGATGTCCAATATATGTTCTTACTCCAAACATTGCACTAGCCTAATTGCTTGTTCATTATCTGAGGATAGCAATCAATCTTGAAGAATGGATGAAGTTAATTCGGCTATAGCATTCATTTACTTGTAGTTGGCATTCGTTACCATGTCACATAAAATTGGAGACATCAACACAAATAATTTGACATAACTGCAAAATATACATAAAACTAACTTATTAAAGGGCTCAAAGCATTTTTCATTAATACTTCAAACCATTACAACTCAACCCATACTTAAGTGAAAATCGAAAGACAAAACTAGACATTATGAAGTGGCACCTACTAAGCATGAAAATGACAACATGATGGAATGGAAGTAACACAATGCACATAAAAGAGAGAAATCGAACATAAAAACTACATTCCAAAACTGTTGGAACGCATAAAAACATGGGTGAGTGCTGATAATATATTCAATCCATTCTTTAGTACATCCCCTTCCCATGTCATGAAATAATTTATATCCTTGTATTTCCTTAAATGCGTCTTAAAGAGCTAACGCGAGCTTGTGTGTTGTATGTTCTCCCATTTGGCCTAATTTGTCCAAACAATCGTCATGGTATAAGGGTGAGTGCGGCTAATTGTATTTTGTTGAAAGACAACCACATTTTTGTTAACCTGACCAGATAACTCGTTAAGATGTCCTAAGCCACTTTCTTCTTTGTACATCTTAGTTGATCTAGTGGTTCATCATTTATTTTTTAAAACTTCCATAGGACTTCCATCTACATCTATGTTTGATGGTGACATATCAATATTAGGTAAATTGCTTTGGTTTATCGTCATGTCGTAGCTCACTACCATAGAACCATGAATGTATCTTCAAAACGTGGGATTCGTCTTCATCTAAGTTTACCATCGGTTGACATTGCAGAAGTACCACATGGCAATGTTCTCTCAACACAGATTCTTTCAAAAATGAGTACTGAATGATAGGGAGTGTCTTGGATACGATATTAATTTCTGGGCGAGATATGATTTGTAAATATACGTGCATCTTCAGAAGATTGAGAAAAATAGTACCTGAACAATTTCATGCCATGAACTCATTAGGTGCTACTGGGACGTGCTTAGACTCCTTGTCGCCAACCCATACCACTACAGTTTGTCAGCCAGATATAGCTATGAAATCAAACTTTCATTTTTTAAATCGTATATTGGAAAGCATTATGTTATCTCTCTCTG